GTTCAATATTTCATAGTCATGTTTAAGTGAACGAAAAAGATCGCTTTTCTTTTAAGTAAAAACATGTTAGAAAATTAAAAGTTATTACTTTATTGACTTAATTTATAGGGTCTGTAACTTAATCGAAATTGGTCTTTTTCTACATTCTGTTGAATTGAAGCGTCTTCCTTTTTCGTGAAACGATAATTATATGACATCATGACCAGTATATAGTAATCGAAATTTTAATGAATTAAAAACTTTCTCTTGTCACCTGCACGAAACAGAATCCTTGTGATATTTCATAACGGACCTGATCTTGCTGTAACGGTTCATACTCGGTTATTAAGATATTTCTTGAAAATGTCCGGTGAATCTGTTCTCTTTTTAGCGCATATTTTCTGTTAGTAGAAATTTTTCCTATAAACCAAAACATCAAAGCAGGAAGCGCTACTGAGGAGGGTATCATCACGTAAGTGTTTTAAAACTTATCGAATAGCGTGCACACCTGTCCATTCAATTTTTCCATAATCAGAATGCTTCTGAATCCTTCGCCTTCCATGGTTTTTAAGCAGTTGAGTTATCTAATCTTATTTAAGAAGTTACCCAATATTAGTTCTTTACACAAAGATAAAGACTCTTCGAGACTAATTCGAAAATTTTGGCAATATGCATAAAATTGACTTTCGTGGATGCAATATCATCGCCATGTTTTTCCTCCATATACCTTATACCTTGCTAACTATATAGAGCTTGTTTATGCTCAATATCTCAAGTTTCTCCTCTTAGAGAGCTTTTTAGATGGCCTTTACCCGCAGGATTGAGTGACTGTGAGATCAAAATTATTAACTTCTTTCTCCAAACATGTAGAGACTTTTGCATTTTCTGCACGGTACGTGCTTAGTCGCTATAATTATAATACGCTCTATCGCACGCAACAAAGTTTCCTCAAGATATGGTTGCTGTTTGTTTGGACTCTTTCCCGTTTTATTGGAAATAAAGAGTTTAACAAAAAGCTCGAGTAACGATGTGGTTAACTTTCATATTCATTTCTATCTTAGAGAGTGACTGATGTCTTGTGGAAACCTTAAATCATAGAGTCAGCGTGGCTCTAAAATAACAAATAAATTAAAACCTCAATCGAGGCAGATCTAACTCCATGGACAACAAAGTTTTTGTCTGATTGTCAGCTTCACTGCTTGTCTCACTTTATTAATTAATCTTTGAGCAGTAAAGAAACGGGTTTAGCGTCGAATTGGAGTAAACTAAAGTTGCCGCTATTCCTCTGATGAGGCGTAAATGTGATGAAAATGTTCTCTTATTAGCTTTCGCAAACACGATTACAACTATCATATGCGGTAATTAACAAACAACTAATGCTAACTGTATCGCGAAATGTTCAGTGAATTTGGTTGACTCGACTGTAATTGAACATGATGATGAATGAGGGTGCCAAA